GAGGAGGAGGAGGAGGAGTAGAGGTGGGATGAGGAGAGAGGAGGAGGAGAAGAAGAAGGAGAAGGAGGAGGAGGAGGAGGAGGAGGAGGAGGAGGAAGGGAGATTAGGAGCCGGGGGAGCGGGGCCCGGCGCAGCATAGTGGCAGGTGCCCCACCCGTCTGCCTTGTGGGGACTTCCTGATGCTGCGGGTGCGAGAGGGACATGGGGGAGGGGGGTTCGGAAGGGAGAAATAAGGGAGAAGGAGAGAGAAAGAGAGAGGAGGGGGGTAAGGGAGTAGGAATGGAAGCATAAGGGAGAAGAGGGAGGGAGGGAGGGATGGTGGATGGGGAATGTCAGTGTTTGGGGAATGGGGGAGGGAGATGGAGGGAGTAGGGGTCGTCCTTGGTCCCTCCCCCCAAATCCTCTCCCTCATATGAGAGAAGAGGGAGGGAGGGAGGGGATAAGGGATTAGGAATGGAAGACATAAGGGAGAAGAGGGAGAGAGGGTGGGAGTGAGGGAGTAGGAATGGGAGAATTGGAAAACGGGAGAGTGCATAGAGAGATAGATAGAGATAAAGGATGAGGGAAAGGGAGAGGGGAAGAGAGAGAATGGGAGAATGAGAAAGAAATGAAAAGAAGAGAGATGACTGAGTGAGTGCAGCCGGCAGGGTACTTGGAGAACGATTGAGCGAGTGAGTGAGTGAGCGAGTGAGTGGGTGAGTGAGGGAGTGAAATGAGTGAAGGCTGGTGTTAAAAGGAGGATTTAAAAAAGCGAGAGTTTAGCCCAGAGTAACGGACGGGTCTTCCGCGAGAGGAGAAAGTCCAGGCGGGGCGAGCGAGCAGAGGGTCAGGAGGTGAGGAGCGAAGGAGGAGTGGGGAAAAATGAAGGAAGGGGCAAATAGAGAGAACAAATAGACACGAGGGTGAATCTGCATTGCCTACATGTTGCATTCACCGTGGCGTCATGCTTTGCAGTGTAATTGTAAGCTTGCATTTTGGTATTTCTCTTTTCTCGCTCTTATCATTTGTTTCTCTTCCTATTTTTCTTTCTCCTCTATACTCTTCTGTCGTCTCTTCTCTTGTCTACTCTCCTTTCTCTTCTTTCGTGGCTTTTCTATTCTCTTTGATTACCTCTTTATCGCCATCTCTCTCTCTTCCCGTAAATATAGAATCCAGTGGGCAGGCAACGCGGTCCGACCTGCCTCGCCTCCTTTCCCCTTTCTCCACCCACTGAGAGCCCGCTTCCACCCACGCCGCACCCCACCCCCCTCTCTTCTTATCCATCCCTCCACTCTCCCCTCCTGCCCTCCCCTCCTCCCCATCCCCCTTTTCTATCCTCTGTTCCCTCTCCTCCTCTCCACCCCCTTTCTCCTCTTCCTCCTCCTCCCCCTCCCCCCTCCCCCCTCTCCCCTCTCCCCCTTTCTTCTCCTCCCCACCCCCTTCCCCTCCTCGCCACCACCTCACCCATCCCCTTGCCCTCTGACCTCTGCGTGTGTCCGTGTGTTCGTCAAGCCGGGGAGCTGGCTTTCGAGTGCCATGAGATGCCAGAATCCTTTTTTTTTTTTTGGGGGGGGGTACTTGTGTCCTCTTGACGGCTTGGCTTGGCTTTGCCTCGGGTCCTCTCGGGAGGGAACTGGCGGCGGTGATGGCGTCGGCGGGGGTGTTCAGGGGTGTGGGGGGGGAGGGGGGGATACGTATGTGGGGGGTGATGACCTTGTTGGTGGATTGGGATGCATGTTGTGTGGTGGATTCCGTATGGAGGTATATGTCCGTGTGTGTGTGTGTGTGTGTGTGTGTGTGTGTGTGTGTGTGTGTGTGTGTATGCATGGATGGATGGATGAATATCGATAGCTACGTAGATTGGTAGGTAAGAAATAGATAGACTGTCCATCCGTATGACCAAGTAGCATCCTAATCAGCTGATGTTCTCAGAGGCGGCCTGCAGTGTATGGCTCAGGAGGTGCAGATAGCATCACCTTGGTGACCTAGTAGCCCTTGAGCAAACCGGACTAGCTGACCCCGCGTGGCCTTGCGCTGACCTATTGCGAGCCTCTCCGGTCCCGCCGCACGACCGCTTTCCTCCCTCGTCGCCGCCCGCCGCCACACGCCCGCGGGAAGTACATTGCGTAACCAGCACGCGCGTCCGAAGGCATAAATCAAATGTTTACGTCGAGCTTAGCGGTTGCCGGAGGGGGAGGATGGGGGCAGATGGGGATGAGGAGGGAGATGAGGAATAGGGTAGGAGGAGGGTGGGGGGGGGAGGTGAAGGAGGCGTGGCAGGAGGTGTCGCCGGGAAGGGCGAGGGAAAGTTGTTACGGCGAGGATGCTCGTCCCGACGCCGGTCCTCCCGCCGCCGCCTTCGCCGTCGCCGCTCTCGGGGTTGGTGTTGGGAAACGGAATAGGGGCCAGTTTTTGTGCCGCTGGACTGGGGTGGGGCCGGGCTCGGGGCAGGGGCAAGGGTAGGGGCGGGCATGGGGTGCTGTGAGGAGGTGGACCTGTGTGGGAGGGTATTGGTGAATGGGTGTCCCCTTCCCCCTCTTCCTCCTCCTCCCTTACACTCTTCTTCCCCTTTCCCTCCCACCCTCTTCCTCTCTCTTTCCCACCTTCTTCCTCTCTTGCCCACCCTCTTCCTCTCTTTACCTTCAGCTCTCCCTTCCCCTCTCCCCTCTATATCTCTGATTTTGTTCTCTCTCTTTCCATATATTAAGTATGTATGTCCGTGAGTGAAGGAATTCTGGACGCGAGCTCTCTGCTGGTTACGAATTGCCTCATTGGTCTGGGTGGGTGGGAGGCTGCTCTGTCTCTCCCCCATCGCCGTCTCCTCCTTCCTCTTTTCTCGGTTGGCGTCAGGAAGGACCTCCTTCATTTCTTGTGTTTTCCATATTCCTCTTTTTTTTTTTTGTTTGTTTATTTCCCCCCGTTCCCCCTTTTCTAAGCTGTCCTTTCCCTCCTTTCTCATTTTCCTCCTCTGCCTCTCCTCGCCTTCCCCGCCACCGCCTTCTCCGCCTCTTCCTCTCTCCCTCCCTCCCTCCCACTTCTCCTCCTCCTCCCCTCCCCCCTTCTTCTCCTCCTTTTCTTCCTCCTTCTCCTCCCCATCCTCATCATTTTCTTCCTCCTCCTCGTTCTCCTCCTCCTCCTCCTCCTCCTCCTCCTCCTCCTCCTCCTCGTTCTTCTTCCAGTATTTCACTTGTACATCTTTGCTGGAACGAGTTTGTGCTATCCGGACATAAACCTCGTTTCTGTCTGCCCTCTTCCCCCCCTTACCTTCTCTTACCTGCTAATTATGCGGAGAACAAGTGGCTTGCATAATAATATGTATTTATTTTGCATTCCATTGGCGTCTGTTTATGTGGGTATATGTATGTGGAAGAGGGAGAATGAGGGAGAGAGAGAAACGCGCGGATGAATGCCGTCCGGTTATTTCTGTCGGGGGGGGGGGGGGGAGAGAGAGAGAGAGAGAGAGAGAGAGAGAGAGAGAGAGAGAGAGAGAGAGAGAGAGAGAGAGAGAGAAATGGGGGGGGGGTGGAGGGAATGAACGAGCGTGTGTGTCAAATACATGTAAAGTCATTTGGTTAACAGGTTAATAACTTTGTTGAGACTTTTAAACATTAATTTTCCTTGAAATCTACTGATACACATTCTCTCTATATATATCTACCTATCTCAATCTCTCCCTCTCTCTCTCTTTCTATCTTTCTCTTTCTCTCTTTCTATCTTTCTCTTTCTCTTTCTCTCTTTCTCTCTTTCTCGCTCGTATTGTTTTCCGGCGAACGAGTCCTTCCCGGCGCAGGTGTCTCATTAACCTCCCCGTCGATACCTGGGGTTGATTCGCCTCCTTTGTTCTCGCGGCCGGTGTCTCGCGGCCGAACAGTCCCCGGTGTCGTTCGTACATTTCGGGGGGATTTATTCGAATCGGTGGATTGTGTGGCTTTCAAAGGGAGTGGAGGCGGGAGGGAGGCGGGGGAGAGGGAGGGATGGGAGCGGGGGGGGGGGGGTTAGGAAAAGACGGGAGACTTTAACGCGTTTCGAGTAGGTATCTGTGTTATTTCTCTCTCTCTTTCGCTCTCTCTCTCTCTTCTTTCTTCTCTCTTCTTTCTTTTCCTCTCCTCTTCTCTTCTCTCCTCTTCTCTTCTCTCCTCTCCTCTCCTCTTCTCTTGTCTCCTCTCTTCTCTTCTCTCCTTCCTTCTCCTCCCTCCTCCTCCTCCTCCCTCCCTCCCTCCTCCCTCCCTCCCTCCCTCCCTCCCTCCCTCCTTCTCCCCATGGGAAAAGAAATGGATTTTTGTTCGCGTGTGAAGTAATTTCCAGCCTTGAGGCAAGGACAAGCGTATCTATCTGTCTGTATGTTTCTTTAAATGTGTCATATCTATCTATTTGTCTGTCTGTCTGTCATTATTGTGTATCTGAGTTCTGGAGTCTGCGTTATGATTCTAAGAAAATACTTTTACCGCTGTATATCACAAGGTCCCATCGCCCCCCCCCCCTCACTTCCGTCGCCTGCTTTCTGCTGCCCTGGTGCTGCATTCCTGCTCGACTGCTTGCCTTGTTGCCTGCCTGCCTGCCTGCTTGCTTGCCCGTTGACAGCTTTTTGTCGCGTTGTGGCATTCGGGCGCCTTGGATCGAGCGCGGGGATTATGGGACCAGGGGGGGGGGGCGGTCGGGCGCGAAGGGTGGGGGGGGGGTCTTGGGAATGGGAGTTATTCCTCTAGGGATTTTTTCCCCTTTTATTAGATTATTGTTTGTGTGTTTTGTCTCATCTGCATGTTTTATTGTTGTTGTTGTTGTTACCATTATTGTTATGATGATTATTTTTGTTGATTGATGATGATACTAGTTTTATGAATGCTTTTTCTGTTACTGTTACGGTTATTACCATTAGTGTTGTTATTAACATTAATACTAATATTAATATAATTAATTTTTCATTGCTATGATTACCTTTTATAGCATCACCATTAACGGCCCTTATATCTCCTGCCCTTTTGCTGGTATGCTAACGCTCCCTTTTTTCTCTCTCTCTCCAGCGATGTCCGCGTACCAGAAGTACTACAACCTGCGCCACAACGACTACTGGAAGGACGCCACTTTCCTGTACGGACAAGGCCTCGTCTACTTCCATTTCAACGCTTTCCAATGGTGAGTACAGATGCCTCTGCCGGCCCCGATCGCCATCACTTTGGCGTTCTCGGTCGTGTTTGTCGCTGAGTGCCGAGAGTCTTCTTTTTCCGGTCCTCTGTTGTCTCGTTTATCATACTCTCTATTCTTATCCTTAACTCGCCACCGTTTGTTTCTCCTTTCTCATTCTTCTTCCTCCTCCTCCTCCTCCTCCTTGTTTCACACCTCTCGTCCTCTCCCTCCCCGTCTCTCTTCTCTTATTCTCTTCCCTTCCCTTCCTCTCCTTTGCCCCGCCTCTTTTCCATCCCCCTGCGCTTCTCCTCCTCTTCTCTATCCCCCTATCCTTCTCCCTTCCCCTCCTCTTCCCTCATTCGCTTATCCTTTGACCCTCCCCTCCCCAACTCTTTACCCCTACCCAACCTGTCTGCCCCCTCCCCCGCTCCGCCCATTCTTGCTTTCATGTTTTCTAAGTTGGTTTCCTTGCTGATGTTGTTCTTAAGCCGGGAAGGTCGGAGGGACGGGGGGAGGAGGGGAAGGGAGGGGGAGGGGGGTAGAATACGGTCATGCGCGACAGGCAGGCAAGCGTGCATGCGGGGCAGACAGGCAGGCAAACTGGCAGGCAATTAGGCAAGCATACAGGCAGATAGACATGGAGGCAAGCACACAGGCAGGTAGGCTGACAGGCAAGTTAGGTAGGCAAGCAGACTGTCTAGCACGTTAATAGACAGATAGACATGCAGAGAGCCGAATAGACAGACAGGCAAGCAAGCAGGTGGAACTGTCATGCACTTCCGCGTGTCCGAGCGGATTGCATTTTCCTCCGCGCATGAATGTTCCCTTTATGTGCGTGGGGGGGGCGAGGGGGGGTTAGATGACGCGTTTTGGGTTGTTAAAAATCTCGGAGGAAGAATGAGAGAACGTGAGTGTTTTTTTCCTTTTTTTTCTTTCTTTCTTTCTTTGTGGGAAGAAGGTACTCCTGTGTTTTGTAGTAGTTTTTTTTTTTTTAATGTTTTAGTTTTTGCTTTCCTTTGTTTCTCCTCGGGAGGAGTAGGGGTACGGTATTCTATCATTTTTAGTAGAGGCATTGTATTTATTTCCCGTCCTTTCCCTGCCCGTCAATTTTCTTTCGTCCCTTCCCATCTCTTTCTTTCCTTTCCCTTTCCTTTACTTCCCTTTACTTTATTTCCTTTTCCCTCACCCCCCCCCCCCTCTCTCCAACCGCTCTTCCATCTCACCTTTGGTTGTGGGAAACCCTCCCCCCCTACTCCCTCTCCCCCCCTCCCCTCCCTTTGCGGCGGTCACAGGTCACGAGAGGTCAGCAGACTTCCGTTTTATTGGTCAATTTGGGGTCTTTTAAGGTCAAGGGGGGGTTGGCGCTGTTGACTTCTTGATTTGTTTCTCGAAGTTTGTTTGTTCTTTGTTAGTTGTTGTTGTAGGTTATTGTTTTGTGTATGTTTTCTCGTTTGCTTTTGCTGTTACTTAGCATCTTAATGTTTTTTTTGTTGGAACGCATGGAGGAAGAGAAAAGGTAAATAGAATAGAATACTTGGTTAGGGCAGGCTCTCTCTCTCTCTCTCTCTCTCTCTCTCTCTCTCTCTCTCTCTCTCTCTCTCTCTCTCTCTCTCTCTCTCTCTCTCTCTCTCTCTCTCTCTCTCACACACACACACACACACACACACACACACAGCTGTACGAGGAAGCTGGAATGATTAAGCTCCGAATTGGAGATCACACGGGAAAATGTTCGAGTGGGATGGGGGGAGGGGGGGAGGAGGTTAATAGGAGGGTGGGGGGGGAAGGGTAGAGGAGTAGGTTTAACGCCTATTGTTTTTTTTCTTTTGTATTCTGGTGTAATTGTTTTTGTTTTTGTATTTCTTCGCTGTTTTTGTTGATTTTTTTTAATTCATATTTTTGTACGGTGTCGGAGTAGGTGGAAGGGGGGGGGTAGGGGGTTGGAAGGAGATGGCAGGGAATAGAGGGTAGTAGGGAGGGGGGAGGGGGGAGGGTAGAGAGGTCGTGAACAGGTTACAAGGTCGTAGGACTCTCCTTTTCGTGTGTGCGTCGGGGAAGGGAGGGGGGGGGGGGGGTCGGCGGGGTTGGCTGGGAAGGAAGGGTGAGGGGTGAAGGGGAGGGAGGGAGGGAGGAAGGAAGAATGGAAGGCTGGAAGGAAGGAGAGGTGGATGGATGGAATGAAGGAAGAGAAAGAGGGAATGGTATGAAGATGGAAGGAGGATGAGAGGGTGGTAGTTGGGGGGGGGGAGGGGGGAGAAGATTGAGATGGAAGATAACTGATGTGACAGAAGGCGGGAGGAGAAGGGGGGGGGGAGACTAACCCTTTTTCGCCGGGAAGGTGAAACGTCAAATTGTACAGACCGTTTTGTACAAAAAAAGGAATGAGGAAGACGAAGGACACGAAGAAGAAGAAGAAGAAGAATCGGAAGTTCTCCCATCCACTTTCCTCTTCCTTCCTTCCTTCCTTCCTGATAGAAAGGGTCCCGTTCAGCAGCGGCAGTGACGGTGCAAAGGCGACCCTCGAAGCACCCGGGACCGTTGGGGGCGTCGCCGTTACTGCAGTCAGGAGGCGGCGGCGGCGTCTTCGTTTCCGATCTTCCGGTCCCTCCTCCTTCCCTTTTCTCCAAAACTCTCCTCTTCTTCTTCTCCTCCTCCTCTTCTTTTCTCCTCATCTTTTCTCCTATTCCACCTTCTTCTTTTCCTCCATCTCCTCCTTCTCCACCTTCTCCTCCTTCTTCTCCTACTTCTTTTCCTCCTACTCCTCCTGCTCCTTCGTTTCCTCCTCCTTCTCCTGCTCCCATTCGAGCGGCTTACGAGGTCGTTCGAACCGGCGCTAGAGTAAAAGCGAGAATGAACCGCTTCTTGGACGAGTATTCGTATAATAAAGTAAAAAAAAAAACACACAGGTGCAAACAATAATGAAAAGAAAATCAGAAAAATAAAGTGAGACTGAGAAAGCCCAGTGGAGCGGCGAGGCTGCTCCCTGGCCAGATTTTGGGGGAAGAGGAACGTGTCTGGTTGTGGACTCGTGAGCTATTGTGTCGAAGGAACACGCGGGCCTTGACATGACTGCGTGCCAGGGCTTGTGAAAGTCGCGTGGGGCCGTGTTTATTGTGTGCCTGGTCGAACAATACACGGGCACACGCGCACGCACACGCTCCGGTACATTCTTGCATACGGATATTTACATGCATGCTTAGATATGTACGTAACTACATAGGCTTACATGTATGTATAGCTACATAAGCATACATGTATACGTACATACATACATACATACATACATACATACATACATACATACATACATACATAGGCCTATACACACACACACTCACACTCACTCACTCACACACACGGAACCGACTCCCCCTCGCCCGCGCGTGCAAAGCGAGGAGCCCAACGCCTTCATCCTGTCCTCGTGACGTTGCGAATTATTATTCCCCGCAGAGACGAGTGAAACGGGGAACAGACAAAGAGCAAGAGTAGGAGAGTTGGAATTGAGCGAGGCAGGTGTAAAAGGATGAGGGAGAGAGAGAGAGAGAGAGAGAGAGAGAGAGAGAGAGAGAGAGAGAGAGAGAGAGAGAGAGAGAGAGAGAGAGAGAGAGACGCACACAAAGAGACAGAGAGAGGAAGAAGAAAAATGACAGAGAAGGAGGAAGGGATAGTAAACACAACGCAGGTGTTAGCGAGAAGAGAGGGGAGAGGGGTAGAGAGGCGGGTGGGGGGGTGGGGTGGGGGGGGGGCAGACAGGTGGGAAACGTATTGGAAAACGAACAGGTGCGACAGGTGTGGGATGGGGGTGGGAGGGGAAGGGGGGATGGGGGTATTAAACGGCGGAGCAGGTGTGGCGTGACAGGTGTGAGAGAGAGTGAGAGTAAGAGTGAGGGAGAGTGAGAGTACGTGAGTCAGATATTGAACGAGTCGGCAAGAGCGAAATAGTGAGTGAGGGAGAGTGAATGATTGAGTGGGCGAGAAGGAGAATGAATGAGTTAGTGCGGGCGTGAGTGCTTGAGCGAGTGAGTGAGTGAATTAGCGAGCGAGATGGAGAATAAAGGAGTTAGTGTGTGCGTGGGTGTGAGTGAGTGAGTGAGTTGGTGTGGGTGAGTGAGTGAGCGAGATAGAGAATGAATGAGTTAGTGAGTGATTGGGTGTGAGTGAGTGAGCGAGTGAGTGCGTGCGTGCGTGAGTGATCGTCGGGCCGCCTGGGAAGTGCTCAAGACGGGTTTTTGTGTGCCGGGTCCTTGATCCGCGTTTGTCTCCCAGGTGGCGGGGACGCTGTGGCGCAGGGCCATCTCGCCCCTGCGTCTTTCTCTCGCTCTCTCGCTCTCTCTCTCTCTCTCTCTCTCTCTCTCTCTCTCTCTCTCTCTCTCTCTCTCTCTCTCTCTCTCTCTCTCTCTCTCTCTCTCTCTCTCTCTCCCTCCCTCCCTCTCTCCCTCTCTCCCTCTCTCCCTCTCTCCCTCTCTCTCTCCTCTCTCCCTCTCTCTCTCTCTCTCTCTCTCTCTCTCTCTCTCTCTCTCTCTCTCTCTCTCTCACTCTCTCTCTCGCTCTCTCGCTCTCTCTTTCTCTCTCTCTCTCTCTCTCTCTCTCTCTCTCTCTCTCTCTCTCAGTTAATGGTATAGTGAAGTAACGAGGGGCGAGAGTAGAGAGAGAGAGAGAGAGAGAGAGAGAGAGAGAGAGAGAGAGAGAGAGAGAGAGGGGGGGGGGGGATGAGTTAAGGATATGGAGTGTATGGAGCCACAGCATGACGCCATCTGGCCACTCGCCTTGGCTCTTGCGTCACCTCCGCCTCCGTCCGGTGGGCGGGCGGGGGAAGGGAAGGGAGGGGAATGGAATGGGATGGAGTGGAATGAAATGTTATGTTATGTTTAGGGATCGGGAGCGAAAGGTAAGGGGAAGTGGAGGGGTGGGGAAAGGGGAAGGGAAGAGGAGGGGAGGAAAGGGCGGAAAGGGAAGGCAGTCGCACATTTGGAGTGCGTGTGTTTGTGTGTGGGAGTGAGTGACTTTGACAGGTTTATTGAGGCGAGCGGTCAGATCTCAAAAGGCTGAGGTAACGCAGGTGAGTGAGCGAGAGCCAGAGAGAACGAGAGGAAGAGGGAAGGAGGG